GGGAGAGGGAGCAGAAGGGGAAGAAGAAGGAGGATGAGGAGGGGGAAAAGTAAGTGGAGAAATTGGGGGAGAGCAGAGAATGGACTGAATTCGTCTTGAGACTATGTCACAACAGCAGGAGGTCTGTTCAATTCTTGAGAAGCGGCGGAAATGTGCAAAGAATGCGCAATACTGGGGTTTTTAGTCCATACAACACGGATCCTTCGTGAGAGCATACTCGCCAATGAGATAGGAATGTTTGCTTCCCGAATCAACTGCACACAAAGCGACCGTACCTTAGCCTTGGAAACGAGATTAGTGTATCTGAGCCTAAAGACGAGCCTTCTCCGAGGGGGTATGCCAAACCTCCTTCGTATTACATTGGAAAGGACTAGTCTAAGGGTCTGTCATGAGGACTTCTTGGAAAAGCATCTTACTGTACCGTAGGCAAAGATAAGATTATCGAGCGACCATTGATAGAGATTTTTCCGTTCTTGCGGGTGGCTTAACAGTCTGAAGACTGGTTCTTTCAGGATTTTCGGACCTCGAACAAAATCTGACAATACTTGCGACATATATGACACATCCATTTTCAAACCATGCTCGACAGCACTTGAGTTGATTTCTCCCGAACTTACTAACTAGAATAGACGCTCCAAAAACATGCTTGATAACTTTCCATGAATTTGCAAAAATTCCTCCCCCTCTGCAGACGAAGGAGAAGGATGAGATGCGCAGCCGTACAGATTCGTTGAAGATATGTAGCAAGGAGATGGAATTAATTCCTACTGACGATACAAAGAAAACCACGCGACTCTGTTTAATCTCTATGGTAGGAATAATTTGGTCATCGCCCTTCCCATCAGCGGCAGCTCTACGCGCTTTCTTAAGCCTTTCCCGCTTACCTGGTGTGCACTTCCTATTTTTGCGTTTCTTTGAAACAGACAGTCTGGAATTCAGGTACGGAGACGCCCAACGAATAACAACTTTTTCAGCGGAGATTGCACAGTGAGAGGCAAGGCAACGTAGTGGGAGAGACCGATCCTTCTAAACCATCTATATAACTTGTGATTGCGAGCCGAATTGGTCGGAGAGGCAGACCAATTAGAAGATAGTGATCTCGACACATGTTCTGACCATCTATTATCCAGAGTGCGAGAGGTAGAGCCGATATAAACATGTTTCGTCAGTGGGGATATCAAGCAGTAGATCACAGGTCCAGGCGCAATACTAAAATCATAGTTCTCTCTCAACAAACTAAACAGCTGATCAGAAAACTTCCAACCCCATGGGATCTGTTCAAGAAGGATCAGACCAATGACTACCATGCGAAAGATGTAGTTGACGTAGGGGTCTAGCAAGAAAGCCCTGGACTTGCGCAAAGGAATACAGAGATTTACCAAGTTCCATAACAGTTCAGCGCTTGGGCATAGTCCCTATTCTCCTCCGATTTGCTCATCCTCTTCAATATTGACAGGTTGAGTTTCTGTTGCCTCCTCTTGACCGTCTTCCTTTGACCAGGCTAACCTCCTTCCTTTCGCAGGTGGTGCGGTTCTCATGTGTGTGGAAGCGATCGAGTACTATGGTGAGGAGTTTTTGGGTCGTGTCTGACCAGTTCGCCCCTTTTGGTAGGCCGTTCATTAGGGCTAGCTGGAGACTTTCACTGTTTTCAAGTAAAGAGATCAAGGCCACATACGTGTCATCCCAGAACCCCTCATTCCTCCCATGATACTTTATTTGGAGTCTGCAGCATCTTTTCCTGCACCGGCTTGTTGTTCCTCTGTATCCGTGGCGTCCTCCATCTCTATCTCAGGGGGAGTTGGTGTGGGGGGCGGGGGGCTGTCTCTTATACACATCTAGATGTGTATAAGAGACAGGGTCTGGGCAGGGCGAAATAACCTCCACTTCCATAGGGGCTGTTCCGAAAGCTTTCTCGAACGGGTCATTAATTTCCTCGTCACTGCTGGCCCGAGGGGTGTCACTACTTCCCCCACCCACGCCCTCCTGTTCAGGTTCTTTCCTCTTCAACACCTGCCATATTCCTCCCCTCCCCCCTCCCTTCTGGTTACACTGTCGGTCTCCAGTGGGCAGGTAGTCATCTGCAGCTGGTCCCTTCACTAGCTGTTTCTGTTTTTTCTTTATGCGTCCTGGTTGTGGTTGTGGTTGCACCGGCTGTTTATCCTTCGAGGGGGGTGCAATTTGCTCTTGTGGTTGCACAGGCTGTTTATGCTTCGGGGGGGTGCAGATCGCTCTTGGGATTTTATTGGGTGATTTGATCCACCCCCGGGTGTCCAGTCATTCGGTGGCTTGGTCGCTCTGCATTGGTCCCCCCTGCCCTCCCAGGTCCATCCCTTAGTCTGTCCTCTCGAGTTCAACTCGTCCAGATACACCCAGCCATCGTGTCCGGGGTCAACAGTGTGCCATCTGTTCGGTCTGTGAAGGTCACGTTGCAGCCTCCCTGCTGTTGGACGACTGTTATTTGGGTGCAGTGGGCATGCAGACTATGTCCACAAGTGCCCGTACGCTCTACATTTAAAGCACCAGGGCCGGAACTTGTGTGCGGTGTGGATTTGGTGGAACTTTCCCCCCCATCTTGAAAGGGATGATATCATCGATGGAGAAGGGTTGGTCCTTCGATAGATCCAGGGCAAGCATCACATAGTCATCCCTTTTAGCCACATACGAAGGCAGCGGGTCGATGAAATCTACTATTGTGTATTGCTGCCCCAGGTCATGTATAAAAATGGCCTGCACTTCCATCGGGATGTGCCTCAACTCAACCCAGAAGTAATCTTTCATCATTTGTTTTTTTTTTTTTTCGGGGTGAGTTTTTTGGGCTGCCATGGATACATACGTACCTCAGACCTCTCCCATCGGAGCCTTCTCCACCCGTCCATCCGTTGTTTGTCTTGTGTGAACAGACTCAAGATCGTGAAGACAGTCGATGACAGGGGTTGTACGAGGAAAAATTCCCGGACTGCGTCCTGACTACCCTTCATTTCTTCCAGTCTCTTGCATATCCACTTTATTTTGTCATTTACCGATTTTTGTGCGACTTCTCCTTGGAATACCCAATTGCTCGCGTGCTTTATATATGCCTTCTCTCTCCTCTAATTTCTCCATTGGGTACGTTTCCATCATCGTTTTCCGCCCTCCTTGATCCACCACCTGGCTTTCTGAGGGAAGGAGGAAGACGGTAAGGAAGTATGCTCTTGCAGCGGAGAGGCTCTTTAATGGTACACTCAAGTCCTCTGTCCCACCTTGGTGCAAGTCCGCTGTGGATCGTTTTATGGTCAGGGTCTTCTCCTGCATTGTATTCCTAACTCGTTGTGCCCACGAGGGTTTCGCCTCTCCCTTGATTGGCGTCTCTTTCTTTCCTTTCGGATTTACCCCTTGTATGCCTGCCATCTCTTTTTTCTCTTCCTCGGTCTGTATCTCGTCCTCTTCGTTCTCCCTCATTTCCGTGTCCTCCCCCCCTCCTTCCCCTGATCCTTCTGCCTCATCCTGCGTGGTGGAAGTTCCCGCTTCTGCCCCCATCTCTTGGTCCTGCCTTACGGTTGTTAGCATCCCCGAGCCCGCCCTGGCTTTCCCCCCATTCTGGTTACTGCGAGTATCCTATTGGTTGGCCGTTCGTATGGGGAATAGGGGAAACGTCTACCCAGGGTGTGTCTCATGGCACCTTGGAAGAAGATCAGGGAGCCAGCTGCGCCAGCTCTTCGCTGCCTCCTATCCATCCTGTTATTGGCCAAAATTCGTTATCCAATGTGTCAGATTGTTGGTATATGTTGGTTTGTTTTTTTTTTGCTGTAGATATGATGTTTCAGATTATGAGAAAATTCTTTGATTTGATTTTTTTTTTCTTTGCTTATAGATATGGTGTCTCAGATTACTAGAAAAAAATTCTTTAATTTGATGAGAGGATATTCAGTTCTGGCTGGCTCGGTGGGGGGCGAGGTGGGGGGCGAGAAGGGGATGTGGGGATATGGCTGTAGGGAGAACGGGGTTGAGCAGGGCGTGCACCTGTTTGTCTGAGAACGCTCCAACTCTCTCTCTCTCTCTCTCTTAGTCCGGTACTAACCTGTGAAGTTGGCGCCTTGATGCGGGTACCTTGAAGATGGAGCTGGAGCTATGGCGCCACAGGTAAGTCTCACTGGTCTCCGCCAGCCATCTCTCCTCAACACTACTACTACCACCTACTAGCGCCCAGCGATGAAGACTACTGCTATGGCTACTAGCGCCCAGCGCTGAAGACTACTACTAGCGCTAAGCTCCTCCTGCAGCGCTCCTCCTGAGTGCTGCGGCCGAATCCTGAAGACTACTCCTGCCTTCTGTCCAACTACCTACCCGTGAAGTGCATGGGAACTCCCTATGTACTTCTCGGCCTGCCTCCTGACTGCAGGGCGAGGCAGTCCAGGAGGCTGCTCTTGCCAATGCCGAAGGGAGTCAGGGGCTGCCGCTGCAGCTCCGGCTTGAGGCTGTCGTGGGAACAGGCTAGAAATAGCCTGTTCCCGAAACCCTGGTTTTGTGCCTGAGTGTTAGGGCAGGTCGATCTTATGAGGGCCCGAAAGTGGCCCTCCGTTTCAGGCTGAAAAGCCTCAGGGTTGAAAAGCCCTGTTTTAGGCTGAAAACAAAATAGGGCCTGCAGGCCCTCGTTTTCAGTTTCCAGGCTGAAACGACATGGGGCCTGTAAGCCCTTATTTCTAGGCTTTTAGGCTGAGAATGCGGGACGGGCCCTGCAGGCCCGTGTGGCTACACCGTATGCCACACCCCCCCCTACCCGAAAGACCGAGCGTACCTGCGAGGGCGAAGCTGTCTGCCTGAGGGAGGGACCACAATCCGGGTGGAAGGGGCAGCTCGTGAAGTTCCCTGAGCTAACCTTTGTCGCTCGTAGTGAGAGTAGATCAGCGGTGCGGATGCTTTCAAATCTGTTCCTGAAATCCACCGAGTGTCGTCGGGATCGCATGCTTTGAATGTAACTTTGTACTGTCGCGGCTTGCTGCCGTACTTGCGATCCGTGAGACGCGTTCAACTTCCTGATGACCATCCATAGATGGAGGGTCCTGCGATCGTCGGCCCGGGAAGTCGTCGCTCTTAGCTGGTGTAGATGTTGCCAGCTTCGATGCGTGAAAGACTGGATGGACCATCAGATGCGGGGGGATGTTGATCACAAATGAAGGGCCATCGGGCTCATCGCCCGCGGCTGATGTTACGGGCCATGGTCCAAACCACTTGGGAAGCAGTTTGCGTGAAACACCCTGTTCCAGTGCAAACTCTTCCGCGGAGACCCAAACCAGATCACCGGCGCGGATGGGACATGGCACGCGACGCCTGTTGGCTTGCTGCTGCATGCGGACTTGAGCCTTTTGCATGTTCGCGCGGGCTTGAGCCAGCAATTCCCTGTACTTCCGAACGGAAGCGGGAGAGCAAGCGACGTCGATGTCGGCAGATCGTGGGAGGAGAAGGTCGGCGAAGATACGGCCTTTCCGTCCACCGTGGTGCAACTCGAATGGAGTCACGCCGATCGCCGGGTGCACCGAAGTGTTGTAGGCGAACTCGATGTCGGGGAGGCGGTCAACCCAATCTTTCTTGTCCGGACGGATGAGCGTACAAAGCATCATTTGAGCGGTTTGATGTGCCCGCTCCGTTTGCCCGTCCGTTTGTGGATGCCGAGCCAAACTTGGTTTCATCTTCGTGCCAGACTCCTGCATGAGAGCAGTCCAAAACAGGGTTGTCAGGCGGGGGCCCCCGGGGGCAAAGCCGAGGTAGGGGTTTGACCCCCGGACCCCCGCCGGCGGGGTGCCCC